TGTCCCCTGCATTGGCAGGCGGACTCTCAACCACTGCACCACCAGGGAAGCCCCGCAGACGGATTCTTAACTGTGCCACCAGAGAAGCCCTGGTTACGAATTTTTAACAAGATTCATCTAATTGGCTTTGTGAAACCATGACAGTTTTTATTAATAAGGAAGGTGTTTGGAAGTTCAGACTTGACAACATTTATCACAATGCCTTAAGTTTTGCCATTGTTGTTTTTCTCCCTCTCTCTACTACACAGGGTCTCGAAAGGTCAGAGTGTGGAGCCGGGAGTTTGCTTTACAGTCAACCAGTGAGCCTGTGGCAGGACTGGGACCTGCTCTGGCTTGGAAGTGAGTGGGAGAAGAAACCTTGTAACTTCTTGCCAGAGAATTTCTTGGTACTAGGGTGGGAGTGGTGGTGCCTACTGAATGTAGGTGTTTATAAAACACAGAGATAATTACTTTTTCTCATTTGGCTGTAAGCCTGTATCTTTCTTTTTTAGTTCCCTGAAGTCTGAATGTGGTTTGAATAGTAGATTCTGAGCTTCACAGACCTCATCATTCCAAGGCCCACACATTTTGTAGGTTATAGGTGGGGCCTACATGAAGTCACTGTGTAAAACAAAGTGGTGCTTCGAAGGGAAGTTGCAGTCTGTGAATTTCTGTGGGGCAGCAGAGCTTTGGTGAAAACTAGGAAAAGGGCTTCCTTTCTCTGCACAAACTCCCACACTAAGGGGACCTGTTTGCTGAGGAACACGGGCTGGATTTGGGCCCGATTCACCTGTTGGCCTAGTACCCTTGTGCAGGTCACAACCTGCTTATGATGTATGGCTGTCCTGATTATAGATAGAAGAAATATTTTCTGCCTCAGCAGCATCTGTTATAGGCAAAACCTAGGTCTCTAGGTTTTAGACATCTGTTTCCCACCAGTATTTGAGTGGCAATTGGATGACAGAGAAAAGAGAGAAATGTATTTGAATTAAAACTCTAGAGACAAATACAAACAAGATGGGGCAATCAGGGTGTTTTCAGTAGATTTAGAAATCTTTAAAAATACCTACCTGAGCATGTAATATTGCTGAAGTCATATAATTGAAAGAGAAATAGTTTATGGTTTTATAGGACATTATACTGGGAATGGTGTAAATAATTTATTGGTTCTTTTAAAAAGTCACCCAAGTGCAGTCTAAGTCTTTGTGGGCAAATAGAGCCCTTGTGCAAATCAGGAAAAGGCACTCTGTCCTCTGGGCAGATATAGTCCCACACTAGGGTGACTGCTTGCCAGGAAACATGGGATTTAAAACTTCCTTGGAATGGAGGCTTTTTGTTTTTGCTGAAAAAAATGTTTCTCTGAATTTCATCTTGTTCTTAGCCAACTGGATGAGCTTTTGGATGCTCTAACACTGTGGGTTTGCTTTAAGGCCCTCAGGCAGTTTGATTGCATCTACGCAAGATAAACCCAATCAGCAGGATGTTGTGTTTTTTGAGAAAAATGGACTTCTCCATGGACATTTTACACTTCCTTTCTTTAAAGATGAGGTTAAGGTAGGTGCCTGAGTTGTTTTACCATCAAATTTAGAGGACTTTGCACAGCTATAGAGAAGATTTGTATTTGATATGGGTATGTAAATAGAAGCCCCAGAGTAGACAGTAATAAAAATAGTGGCTTCCTATGACTGAATTTTTTTTTTATAAACCAAATTGTTTTTCCTAAGGAGATTTTGTAGAGAAGAAAGAGCATTCCTTCCTCACCCTAGATAAAACACAGAAAGGAAATAGAAATGCTAGTTTTTATTGTTTATTTTGACAAAAGCATAATTCTTCCAGTGATAAAGATACTTGCCATTTTTAACATGTAAACCTTAAGGAGGTTGTGTACCATTTGGATCTTCGCTGGAGCGAAAACAAATCATGGTAATTTTTAATTATGTAAAAATTTAAATATATTAAAAGTTGAGGGAAGAGTTTAATGAACTCCCATGTACCTATTACTTACTTTCAACAGATATGTACCAGCATGTTGCAAAATTATTTTCATCTATTCTTCACTCTCTGCCCCACCCCCTACACACACTTTGAAAAAATTTCCTAGGGTTTTAATTTTAAAAATCATATTTTCAGTATTCATTTCTCTAATAGTTGAGAACATTTTTCATAATATAACCACAATTCCATTATGATACTTTACAAAATTAGTAATAATTCCTTAATATTATCTGATATCTAGTCCATATTCAAATATTCTTGTCTAAAAATGTCACCTTCATTTGGTTAAGTATTTAAACATAATGCATTTTTTTGAAGTCCTCTACATATGATGACAGAGATTTGTTTAATAACTCCATAGGTTAGTAATTTACAGCTAGGGGTCAACTCAAGTGTGGAATTATTTGACTTGTGAGAGCAGGGAATTCAGCTGTCATAAAGATTTTGAGGTAAATACATAAAGGCCAGTGACAGGTCTTTTTTCCCTACTAGGTTAATGACCTTCTCTGGAATGCAGATTCCACTGTGCTTGCAGTTTGGCTGGAAGACCTTCAGAGGGAAGAAAATTCTACTCTAAAAACCTATGGTAAGACGGCTCTAGTATCTTAGCCTTCTGCCCCATAAAATGTAATTGAAAGTAGTAGGCCATGAAGTTTCCCTTATCCTTTTCACTTAGTCTTGTAATGGAATCAGAGATAACTGAGGGGGGTAGGTAGAGATGAGGGAGTGGTTAGCTTTTGATTGGATAGATTTCAGTTATGTATCAGGCAGGGTCTCTAGAGAAATAGAATCAGGGTAAGCTGGCTGGTTGGAAATTCAGTGAAGAGTTGATGTTGCAATCTTGAGTCCAAAATCTGTGGGACAGGCCCACATTCTGGAAACTTGGACAAGATTCTCTGTTACAGTCTTGAGGCAAAATTCCGTTTTCCATGGGAGGCCTTAGTTTTTGCTCTTAAGGCTCTATGAACTCTTTGGATGAGATTCATCCACATTATGGAGGATATTCTGCTGTACTAAAGTCAGCTGATCATAAAGGTTAATCACATCCGCAGAATACCTTCCCAGCAACGTCTAGACTAGTGTTTGATCAAACAACTAGACACCATAGCCTAGCCAAGTTGATATGTAAATTAACCATCACAAGTCATCAGTGCTTTCTCTTCATGGATGGTACCACTGTAGCAAATAAAAATGCTAGCCAAAGGAATACTGTGGAAGTGAAAGAGAAATGAGATTAGATATAAGTAAGAATCTTCTATAGCTTTTAAATTGCAAATCAAATTGTAAATAGGTATTTTTCAGTGTATATGTGAAAGCATTAGAAAATAAAGATGGGAAGAAGAAAAGTTCTTCCGTAATTCTGTTACTCAGTAATAATCACTAAAGTTTCTTGTCTTCCAGATTTTATGTATACATCTCAGTATAGCTATGATCTCATTTTTGTTAAATATATAGGTATGATACCTGCAGTTTTGTAACTTGCTTTTACAGTGTGTCACAAACTTTCCATTTCAGATATCTATCTGTGTCATTTTAAATTGCTGTATATTCATTTATGCTACAGTTTATTAAATCTTATGTTGTTAGGGCTTCCCTGGTAGCGCAGTGGTTGGGAGTCTGCCTGCCGGTGCAGGGGACGCGGGTTCACGCCCCGGTCCGGGAGGATCCTGCATGCTGCGGAGCGGCTGGGCCCGTGAGCCGTGGCCGCTGGGCCTGCGCGTCCGGGGCCTGCGCGTCCGGAGCCTGTGCTCTGCGACGGGAGAGGCTGTGGCAGTGAGGGGCCCGCGTACCACAAAAAAAAAAAAAAAAAAAAAAAAATCTTATATTGTTAGACATTTAAAGTTTTGTAATTTTTCACTATCAGTAGCAGTGCACTGAACATTTTTTTCATAAATCTTCTCATTTGCTTGATTATTTTCTGAGTAGCTTTCAAACTTTTTAATCAATAGAACTTTAACTGAAATGTTATTGAGAAGCTCATTCATTCATTTATTCATTCAACACAATAGTTCTCAACCCTGGATGCAGCTTTAGGAAAAAAAAAAAGTGCTACCAATGTCTTATTTCAGAGCTGCTCTCTGTGTTATAATGGGGACTATACATCATTATTAAATTTTAAAAAAAAAGCTTCCAGGTGATTTTTTTTGTAAACACTGACATTTATTTACTTATTTATTTTTAATTTTATTTATTTATTTATTTTTGGCTGTGTTGGGTCTTCGTTGCTGTGCGCGGACTGTCTCTAGTTGCGGCAAGCGGGGGCTACTCTTCCTTGTGCTGCGTGGGCTTCTCATTGCGGTGGCTTCTCTTGTTGTGGAGCACAGGCTCTAGGCGCACAGGCTTCAGTAGTTGTGGCACATGAGCTTAGTTGCTCCGCGGCATGTGGGATCTTCCCAGACTAGGGCTCGAACCCATGCCCCCTGCATTGGCAGGCGGATTCTTAACCACTGCACCACGAGGAAAGTCCCCAGGTGATTTTTTAATGTGTAGCCAGAGTTGAGAACCACTGATTAACCAGGTGTTAATGGCTGGCCCTGTGATATGCTCAGGATAAAAGTGTAGCTGCAAGAACAGCCACAATGTCTGTCCTCCCAGAGCATGAGCATGTAGTCTGACTTAGCCCAGAGCTAGGTTGAAGTATTGTAGTAGCCTCGTTCGAGAACTAGGTTGGATTTGCTGTGATTGCTGAGTTAAGAAATTCCTTAATATAATTAAAATCTTCATTTATGTGTGTCATCTGTTTAACAGAGGTTGGCTTTGACATGATTAGGTCTTTTTTTTTCCAGCTTTATTGAGATATAATTGACATGTAACGTGTACATTCAGGAGCTACAATGTGATGATTTGATACATGCATGTACTGTGAAATGTTTACCACAGTAAGGTTGATTAACTCATCCTTCACATAATCACCATTTTTGTTTTTATGGTGAGAACTTTTTTTTGGCTGCGTTAGGTCTTCATTGCTGCGTGCGGGCTTTCTCTAGTTGTGGTGAGCAGGGGCTACTCTTCGTTGTGGTGCGTGGGCTTCTCACTGTGGTGGCTTCTCGTTGTGGAGCACAGGCTCTAGAGCGCGGGCTCAGTAGTTGTGGCACACGGGCTTAGTTGCTCCACTTGCCTCCATGCAAGCTTCAGTAGTTGTGGCACATGGGCTCAGTAGTTGTGGCGCACGGGCTTAGTTGCTCCGCGGCATGTGGGATCTTCCCAGACCAGGGCTCGAACCCGTGTCCCCTGCATTGGCAGATGGATTCTTAACCACTGCACCACCAGGGAAGCCTGGTGAGAACATTTTAAATCTACTCTCGTAGCAACTTTCAAGTATACAATACAGTATCGTTAACTGTAGTCACCATGCTATACCTCTGGAATGTATAACTGAATGGTTTGTACTCTTTGACCAACTTCTTCCTATTTCCTGTGCTCTACAGGTTTTGGTCTTGTTCTTTTAAGGGTAATTGCATGCTGCTCCCTTGGACATAACTGCATGCAAAACACCTGGAAGAAAATAATAAGCGTCTTAAGCGTAATACAACATAGTGATGCTAGTCTAGTGCTCTTGGATTGGGTGTTTTAATACTTTAATTGCCAGATTTTTTTCTTTCTAAGTCTTTATGAAAAAAACAACTCACTAAAGCACTGTCGTATGGTAGGAGCCTTCCATCATCATGATTATAAAGTTTGAAGGTAGAGGTAGAAATGAACACATGTGCTTCTGACCTTATTGATACTTAATATTTTATCCTCATGAAAAACTATACTTTAACAATTATTGTTAATATTATTATCTTAATGAAGAGGCTGAGCAGAAAGGGTCATTTGAAAAAGAAGAGGGTGTCCTCATCCCTCTCTAGCAAGTGGTATGAAGTCTGGTCCTCAGACTCCTGCCTCTGATGGCCTTCCTTTTCCTTTTCCCCTGCAGTTCAGCTCTGGACTGTTGGAAACTATCACTGGTATCTCAAGCAAAGCCTGCCCTTCAGCACCTGTGGGAAGAGCAAGATTGTGTCTCTGATGTGGGACCCGGTGACCCCATACCGGCTGCATGTTCTCTGTCAAGGCTGGCATTACCTCTGCTATGACTGGCACTGGACGACTGACCGGAGCTCAGGAGAGAATTTAAGTGACATGGCAAATGTGGCTGTTGTTGATGGAAGTAAGGAGCTGGAAAGTGTGTCCATGGGCCCGCAGGGGGCCTGAGCCAGGAGCCTGCAGATGTGGTAGTTTGACTGAAACAGTGCAGGATTTTTATTTGATTGATTATTCTGGTTGTTTGGTTTGTTTTTACTTGTTTTGGTTTCGATTGGATGGGAACGCCCTTAGGTGAGGCATGTACTCCCCTGAGAACCATGGTCTCTACTCTCCCCCTGACTCGCTCAACTCCCTTTTCTACTACAACCATGGCCTTTACACATTTACTTGTCTGGGCTTTGAAGACATTGACATTTCTGACCCTGGGTGGAGAGGAAGACAACAGTAGGCTTCTGGCATTGGTGTGTCAGCCTTGTCTTTGTGCCCTGACATAGGGTTACGTTGACCCTCACACCACTCCATTATGTTGCTTTATTTTTTGATACATATTTAATTTATATATATAATTTGCTTGCTAATTATATACCTTTTCAGTATTTTCAGTTCAAGTTACAGACACCTGCCTAGTACTCGGATTGGATTGGTGTTTTTTAATTAGGTTGAGGGTTTTTGTTTAGTGAGGGGAAAGAAAATACGGAAAGTCAGTCTTTCCTGAATAGACAGTTTACTTATTGCTGATGACCTGAAGGAAAAACTTGCTTCTAAGGTTGTAACGTGAGTTGATGTACTAATTTATGTTCTGTGTAGTGATCATAATACTGATTTTACAATCATATGTTCTATATAGAGGACTTAAGCACATATGCCTTGTTACCAGATCCATGCACAGGGAAGTGCTTTAAGGATTTTAGTTTATTCTGGCTTGGTTGCAGGCCCAGGTTTAAAGGTAGAACTCTGACCTTTTGGCCTGTTTGCCCTAGTCCCTGGCACCTGAAACTCCAAGCCCCGAGATGGACTGCTATAGGCCTGGAGGTGACAATAGCCAGATATAGACAGAGCTCGGACACTTACTTTCCTCCTTAACACTGTATTTAAGCTTATTCATGATAAAAACACCAACAGTTACTTTTAAGAATCGCTGTATATTTTCTACCACCATTATTACTTAGTGGTACTGTGCTGTTCAGATGCCTTGTTTTACAAATTGAACATCCATGTGTCTCATCCTGTTTCTCTCTCGCATGCAGACAGGGTATTGGTGACAGTCTTCCGGCAGAGTGTGGTTCCACCTCCCATGTGCACCTACCGACTGCTGCTCCCACACCCTGTAAATCAAATCATGTTTTCGGCACACCCTAAAAAGAGCAATGACCTTGCTGTCCTAGATGCCAGTAACCAGATTTCTGTTTATAAATGTGGTATGTTCAAAAACTGTTATCAGGATATTCTGAATCAAATCTCCTACATGAAAGCAAATTATAGTTTGGTGTTGTGTTAGCTCTAGGGCTTCCAAAATTTTTGAACTTTATAATTAATATCATTCTTACTGTGATGTTTAATTGACTTGCAGGGTTTTTTCTGTGTTTGTGGGGGGGTTCAATCCTACTCTGGCTAATAAGAACAATTCTTTTTTGCTTTGTTGAATTTGAAGGGTTAGTTATTTAAGAATAATTCTCAACCCTAGAAAGAACATAGTATCTCATTACATCCTTAACATTGCCGTTGCACATATTTTCAGTTGATCTCACAGCTTTCCTAGGAGCTGTGTCAGAGGTGGAGTTTTTCTGTTTTATAGATGAGGGAACAGCGTGCCAGAGGGTTTGCAGTCTGCTTGAGCAAGAAAGGACAAGGACGTCTACTTAGGTGTTTTAGCGTCTAATCTAGTTGTCCTTCCACAGTCCCACTGCTGTCAGTTTCTAGTTGCTTTCCTGATGTGCTTGAAGAACCTGAAATTTGTGAATTCTATGGTTGTATCGTAAGTTATAGTGGCACATGGCAGTGGTAGCCTTGTTTTCAAATAAGTTTTGAATTCTTAGCCTGAAAGGTAGGCAGAAATTTAATTTAAGAAAGGGGTTGAGATGTGGTTATTTTCTAGATTGCTTTATTTGTAAAGTGGATTACCTTCTAGAACCCAGTCAGTGCAGAGCCCCATATCCTTAGTATCAGGAAAAATGTTTGTAGTTTACTATGATAGTATTTGCATTTTTTTTTTCCTAGGTGATAGTCCAAGCATAGACTCTACAGTGAAACTGGGAGCTGTGGGTGGAAATGGATTTAAAATTTCTCTTAGAACACCTCATCTGGACAAGAGCTACAAGTAGGTTGTTCTTAGTTGCCTTGGACCTCTGGGCACAGACGCAGCCAGCATTTAGTCCTAAATTCAGCCAGCTGTTATTATCTTATCCTGTGCCTGTTGCTCAGTGGAACAAGAAGCAGATACAACACCTGGGCCCTGGTTTTTCAGCCTGGTTGGAGAAGTCAGTTACCTATATATCTGAATATCATATATGCTGATGGGTGACAATGGAGCATAAGTCTTAGGCTGACTTAGAACCCATTCCCCCCAACATCCCTGGGGGGATTTTCAACAGGGAAAACCCCTTGGGAAAGATGGAGATGCAGATGGTAGAGCAGAGTGCATTTGCTTTCACAAATGAGGATATGTACATTGTTAATGTGTGGCTGACCTAATGCAGTCTCTAGTTTGTCTTATCCTACAATGCAGAACTTTTGGTTGCTGTGTTTTGAGGCTCTCAGGTTGCAAATCAGAATGCATTTTCCTGTTGAAACAGTACTACAAACAGTTGGATATAATTGAATACCTCAGGTGCACTATAGGCATTGTAAAATGACCCAGAAGCCAAATTATTAATTATAAGTCCATTTCTGTGAGAACCCAGAATTTGATTCTGTTCTATTTAATAAGCCCATGTTCTTAACTAATGCAGTACTTTGTCTCCTGGGCGCATTTATTTCTAAATTAATGGGAATAATGAGCAAATAACTGAATATAACAAATAATGTTTCTTAAATGCCAATATATGCAATATATTTCATAAATGAATATATTTCCTACCTGTGTATGATTTGGGAGCTGTCCGTATAATGCTTAGTAGTTTTTCAAAGAGCATGTACATGGATTATTTCATTTCAGAGACTTTGAAAGTTTAGAGGACAGATTTAAGGCAAACTAGAAAGCATGAGGCAATTGAGAATATAGTTTCATTTTTTAAAAAATTGTGAGAAGGATAGCTCTAAGTCATTTAGAGAAGATTTCATGAAGGGCATAAATAACTTACCTTAAACCTTGAAAAAGAGATAGGTTTAGGATTGCCAAAGGATTGAGACTGTTAAGTGTAGTGGACAGAAGAGTGTCAATGAGAACCCGAGGCAGGAATGGTCC